AAAAAAAGAAAAAAAAAGGGTTTTTTTTTTTCTTTAAGTGGGCCAAGGGCCCCTTTTCAAATTTGGGGGGCCAAGCCCAAAAATTTGGGGCCAAAGGCCAAAAATTTTCGGGGGGGGCAGGGAAAAAAATCCTTGGGTTTTCCCCTTTTAAGCCCCCCTTTTGGGGAATTTTCCGGGGGGGTTTTCCTTTTTAAAGGATGGGGAAAAAATTTTTAAGGGGGGCCCTTTCCAAAAAATTTTCCGGGGGGGCCTTGAAAGGGGGTTTTCCCCCCCCTCCCCCCCTTGGGGGGGGGGGGGGTTAATTTTTTTTTTTTTTGGGGCCGGGGGGTTTGGGGGTCCCCCCCCCCCCCTTTGGGGGGGTAATGGTTTTAGGGTTTGGGGATGGCAGGTTTGGGGGTCCCCCCCCCCCCCCCCCCCCCCAGCCCATCTCTGGTGCACAAACATCACGATCGAGCTATGTACCTGATGAGCACATCCCTCTCGACCGGGCCGAGTAATTCCGCGTCACCCCCCAGCCCTGCGCCGGCGGCCTGCTCCCCCTCTCCCGTGAGCCTCCCGATGCCGGTGCCAGACGCCGCCGCCTCCTGTAACGCCTTCCTCTTGAGCCCTCCGGCGCCCACCAGGACGGACTTGAGAGCGCGGAGGCCGAAGTCGTAGTGCGACTGCGAGGACAGCTGTTCCTCGCACAGCTGGAAGAGGAGGACGATGCGGCCCGCGAGCTCTTCCGCCGTTGAAATGCCCTGGCTGAAGAGCATTACCTGTCCATACGCGCGGGGTGGAGGGAATGGGTGAAAAGAGTTCATAAAACGGCATACATAGCAGTGCCTCTGAAGAGGTGACGGACTGCGTGCGTGGACAGGACAGAACGAAGAAAGACATACTCGAGCTGGAGCAAAAGCTTGCGTGCATCACAGTCCACAAACCACCGCACGGCCGCAACCGAACACGGATGTACACGTCTCGATCCTCTCATGGACTACCTCCACGTGTCTCACCTGAGCGATGAGCTTTCGGTCGGGCACTACCATGGCCACAGCACGGAACAGCTGCTTCAGGTTGTCCGGCAAGTTGGATCTGACCAGAAAACAACAAAAAAACACGCGACATTCGATCAGCCTCACCAAAGGATGTTTCGCATTGAGGGCGCGGCATCCTGGCGTGAGGCCTCCACGCAAGGCCAAATACGGTGGTGGGCAAGACGAAGTATTCACAAGACAATTTGGGGCTCTCTTGCCTCCGGCGCACACAAGCCAAGCACGACATAAAACCCAAGTACCTGCCGGCGTATCCAGGGTTCATGGTGACGAAGATGCCCACGTCCGGGTGCAGGCGCACGCTGCGGCCGAGAATCTCCACCTGCATATGTATGTATCGGCCACACCGACATGAAGCACCTCTTTAGGCCGTCGCCGTCCGCAGCATATTCGAGTACCCCCGTACCGTAGTCGAGACTTTCACGCACTCCAACGCAGAGTCAGGTAACCCTAACCCGATAAAGGTTGGGCATGTTTTCTATCCAACGTGAAATGAGCAAAATTAGTTTTGCGCGTATATTTCTTGCTCAACTGTAATCATATTTTTTCGTTTTCGAGGAAGAAATATCGGGGCAAGCAAGTAGAGAGCAAGCATCACAGATGAGATTTCTGCACTAGACATGTCCTCCCCTGCTGCTGCGGTTGCAGGAATAACTTTAATATTCTGCCGCCCATCATCACCTTTGGTTGGCGGTCCAACAAGCCCTTCTGAATGGCGAGGATCTGCTGGGAAACAGCCGAGAGGATGCGCTCCTCCAGGCGGTTGAACTCGTCGAAACAGCCCCACGCGCCCACCTGTACAGTCACGTGTAACACGAAATGTTACGTCCTTGCTTGCATTGGGGGGTGACGACCCACTACAGACGTCGCAAAGCATGAGTTATGACCCACACAGACGGTACGGGTGTGTTCGAAGGAAGACATTGGACAACGATAAATCGCAGCGTAGTAGAACACTCACCGCCGGTATTTGGTACGTTCTTCAGAACAGACTTTTCAAAATTTGGAAGACGATCGATACCTTGCTACTGTTATAAGCTGTCGGCACAAGGTGAAGCCCAAGCGCAGGCCGAAGAAAAACGCAAAAGAAAGGAAATATACAAAAACATGTTGCAGCATTGATCGACTCACGATACCAACAACGACGAGGCTATGCACTGCTTCATCGGGCAGAAAGAGACGGGAGGAACGTTCCACCCAACACGGATTCCGCAGGCCGGCTCGCAGCAATCGAGAAGACGGAGACCAACCCCGTCTCTCACCTGGCACAGTCCGGCGAACAGCCTGCCCATCGCAGAGTAGTCGAACGACTCGTCGCAGTTGAACACCAGAACGAACCGTCCGAGCTGTGCTCCCAGGGCCTTGACCGACTCCGTCTTACCCGTACCGGCCGGACCGAAGGGGTTGCCGCCCATGCGGAGGTGTAGCGCCTGGGTGAGGGTAAGGTAGCACCTGCGCGGGCATAACAAAAAAAGCGACTTCGGCATCCTTGGTACTGCGTAGTGTTGTTGCCGTTGTTGTTAATTGTTCGCCAGAACAACGGCAATACTGGACTGGCCATTAGACAGCAGTGCGAAAAACAGTGCGGTGTCACACTGTCACGAACTCCCTGCTGTGAGGTATAAGCTGATCAAACGCCGTTGTACAGCTCAATTCATGCGTCTGCCCAGAAATGATTGTCTGTGCGCAGAACAGGGCTGGTGCGGGTCCTGAAGTAAATGCGTACCTGTCGGTAAGAGGCGTCTGGACAAGCCGCTCTCCAATTCCGAGGTACTCGAAGCCGTACTCAAACCGTGCATCGGCCATCCTGACCGTGAGGCCCTCCGTAGGGTCTCTCGCCTTCGGGTCAAAGTCGAATCGTAGCTGGCTCAGCCACTCGAACGACTCGGTCGTGGCAGTATCGACGTCCTGGACAAACAGGTCGCCAAAAGGAAGAAGAAAAGAAAAAGAGCATTAAGCGACCGAACACAACAAAATCAGGCAAACACAAGAGCTGTAGAGAGGTTAACGATACCGACCGAAAATTAGAGCACGTGAACCACCGTGCGCATACGCTGACGGTGTGGAAAAGTTGCCTTGACGGCCAGATATTTCTTGGAACCTAACCAACAGAAACTGTGCAGGGTCCGCACTCACACTGAAAACGTGTGCGACACACCTTGCAGCCCCCACAAAACGACAAAAAACAAGAAAAGATAGATGCACGACGCATTGCTGCTAAAACAACGGCAATGAAAAACACACAAAGCGGACGAACGACGGTCACGCCATGCTATAACTGCTCCATAGATGTGGTCATTTACCTTGAGCCTCCTCGTGGCGTCCCTCTGCCGCACCAACTCCGTGATGAGCTGCTCGTACTTCTTCCGAAGAGCAGGCGGGCTCTCTCCCAAAACGCTCTCCGACATGGCCAAGAGCCGCCACGCAAGGCCCTCCAGGCAGGCCGTGAGACCTCCGGGCGAACCTGCCTGTGCGGCTTTGAGGGCCGTCAGGACGGCGCCCGACCAGGACACTTGGGCCGCGAGGGCCACGATCTGTGCCGGGAACTGGTTGCACAGTCCCACGAAGGTCTGGCGGGGCGGGAGGGGACCGTGGAGACAAAACAGAGGTTTGTGTGTGAAGGCTTTGTCGACAGTTCGACGATGGTCTGATGGGAGATACTGCCAAGAAAAATTCGACAGCGAAGACGGCGCTTGGGTGGAGGGAATCGCCACCTGATTGCAGAGAGTCTGACGAACTGCTGGTTGGGCAGCAGTAGGTAGCGCGCCAGGTTGGATGAAGAGCTGCGGTGGACAGCAGCGCACCCATCAGCACCCTTCCGAAAGCAAGATGGGTTGAGCACCCTTCCGAAGCAACTCGGGTTGGGCACCGTTGATATTAAACCGAAACCGACCACCGAGACCAAGAAACTACACAAAAATTTCAACCCAACTGATCATGTCCAAATTCTGGCGTACGTACATACTTGATCTCCTATCGTGTGCTCGGAACGCCACGGAAACTCACGTTAGCATCCTCCCTGGACGTGGACAGGTCTCCCGTGGCCTCTACCGCCTGCCTCAGGAGCAAGGCCAGCGTGCTCCTCATCTCGGTCTCGAGGGCCTTGAGCCACTCCTTTACCCCGTTGTCGGCCACGTTTACGGGCGTCTTGAACGCGACCTCCTCGCCGTCCTTTGAAATCATGGACAGCGCGCTTCCCGCCTTTCCGTCGTCGCCACCTGCGGCAGACATGCGACGGGGGTGGGCGGGCCTTCAACGATAGGCTTTCAAGTCAAGTCGAAGGGCGAGGACCAGTTCTCATCTCACTAAATAGGAGCGTGGAGACCGACCCCTCGCACCATATGCGGCGTTAGTCTGCGGAAGCCAATGGATACTCAACTCAAACTATTGCTACTGCGAATACGCCCTGGACACAAGACTTGAATGTCTACGAAAGGGGGACCCCAGAAAGACAGAACAGACAGAGAGGGAGGGGTGGACGGACCTGTTGGCATGTTGAGTGCTCCCACGGAAGCGAACATCTTGCCCAGGTGCTGGGCGACTTTTGCGGGCTCGTTGGCGTTACCCACGATCTCCAGCAGGTCCTCGTCGCCGACGAAGTAGAAACGGCTGAACGCCTGCATCGGACAGGATTAGGATTGTGCAGACAAGACACGGCGCCGTCGCGACAGGAATGCGACATCGAATAGCGGCCCGCAGCTACCTAGGTCGGTTCCGGGAATACGCAAAAGTTCGAAAGTGAACAAATGAACATAACCCGAAACAACCAGTATGTATCGAAACTTGAGGGGTTGAAGTCCTCCAAACGATCGTCTGAATGGGGAGGGTGGAGATGTTCAGGGTGTACACAACAGAGCGTACTCAGGGTATTTCGAGTAACACTCAGACCAAACCGTAAGAATAATTGTTTGCCCACTAAAATGATATGAGTTTAGGTTGAGTGTTTTCTCAAAAATATTCGAGAATGAGTGTAAACCCTACTGAAGATAAAAGATCTTTACAGCCCCGTCAATACCGAGCAATGCCATCGTCTATTTGGGGGTACTCGGCACTCGAAACGGATCTACGGAGATGTAGGTTCCGTGCACCATATGTGTTTGTAGAAAGGCGATCCCCCTTCTGCGTGCATAGGAAAGCACGTCCTGCGCTCACTCGTTAACGATACAAGAAAGGAAAGTGAGTCAACATTCTTCTCTGCGCTTCTGACAACAAGCTGCCTGCATCCAAACATCTTCACCTGTCTCTGTCCCTCCAGGTACTCTCCTAGAGCCTTCTGGATGTGAGACATGAGACCCTCTTGCCTCTCGAGCTGCCGCAGGAGATTCTCCATCGATAGCACCTGGCCACAAGTCATCAAAGAGCGTCGACAGCTTAGCTGAACAGAGGGACTAGAACGCTACAGCGCACGACAGAGTGCAGCTCCAAACAGGCAGGTAGCGGTGTTTAATGAGACAGCACAACAGCCATGGCTGGAGTCGAAGACAAGTCCCCGCTACAGCAATCCTTGGGCGACAACGGCGCTTCGTGCCCACCCCGTGAAAACTCTCACGTTGTCGTGGATTTGTACATGTTGTGGGTACCCCGCAACCTAACAACGCGACTAGCTGGTTTCGTCCGTATGGCTGTCGCGCTACATGATGTTTCTGATGTATTATTGCTCTTGGCCTAAGATCATTTAATGCAAGTATTGGATTTGGATGAGGCCTCCAGCTCCGGCGTGTGTAGTACATCGCCATCGACTCCGTTTTCGAACCCCACATCTGCATGATCTCCTCTGTCGCGAAGCCGCCTATGGATCTGCTCAAAGACACCCCCACGGGTGCGCCTGTGCCTTGCCTTGCTACACCACGGCGGATATCCTGGGCGCGGCGTCTACACTCCACCTAAAAGGCGTCCTATAGCCTAAAGGGTAGACGACTGACGTGGGCGACCGCGGTGTCGCCGTCCCATCTTTCAGGCCTCGCCGATTGTCACTACTCTTTCCCCGGTGCATGAAATTGTTGGTGCCTGGCGCGCGTTGCGGGTTGTATGAAAATTTCAACGTGCTACCAGATGCTGACGCCTACATCCATTTTCGTGCCGGATTCGTTAACACGTGTCCTGACGTGCTCAAAGACTTTTCGTCGCCTTGAGCGGCCACTCGTGCGTATCGTTCTTACCTCCATGATGTTGGGCTTGTGCGCCACCCTTCTCATGAGCTGCACGAACTCAGCGTCCACGGACTTGAACCTCTGCGGCCGTCGTCGCGGAAGGAGAAAAAAACAAATCGGGAACCACACACGACACGACAACATTCATCAGGAGACAAACATATCCACCAATCACAGTATATCCAAAAAATCATCCACAACAGAATAAACAAGCATCTACAATGTCCTGTGGCACTGCTTTCAAGCCATTCAACACGCGGTAGGGTTTGCCAGTGCAGTCGGGTTAGGGATAGGGTTAATGACCCGCACGAAAATACTCAAGAAAAAATTACAAGATCATACAAAGGTGCACGGCCCACTCTGAGGGCAGGTGCTGCCTCTTGCCCGTCAAGGAGCAAGCATGCCTTCCACTCACATTGCATTCATACTAACCAAACCAGCTACAAACAAACGCACACACACTGTCGGATACCGATAAGTTGCCCTCGCTGTACAGAGGTTACACACACACACTGTCGGATACCGATAAGTTGCCCTCGCTGTACAGAGGGTACATACCGCACATTCAAACACAACTATAACTTTGCATGCAAACCACGAAAATCCCAGCTTTGCCAACTCGGCAGGCCACACGCAACGTACCGCGAACTCTGACGGAAGCTGCTGCTTGATGTCCCTTGAGGCAAAGAAAATGCCTTCAAGGTACAGCCACCTCCTCTGCACGTCCACCCACGCGTCTAGCACAGCGTTCAGTTTGGTCAAGCGCTCTTCCCACAAAGCCGCCTCTTCTTGGAACTCCTGCACGCATAAAGAAAGAAGAGGGAAATAGGGAGATCTTCTCATCAAAAACGCGGAAGCGTTAGATAAGCAACAACGGGGAACCTATATAGCACGAATTGTGGTCCACCATGAAATACGAAACGGTAGCGAGCAACAGCGTCTGGACAAGCAGGGGACGGCGCGTGTTTCGTCGGCGGTGCACGTGCGTGCACGGTGCGACGCGGCAGCAGTGTCGCCGAAACGGATGAACACGAGGAAACCGATACGTCGGAAAATCCCGTATGGCATGCGGCCGAAGTGTGCTCCTGAACCCTTCTGAAAGTGGGCCCAACACTCGGTCATTTGTGCACGTGGAGGAAGAGGAATACCACGCGGGAAACGAAAAATCGGGAATTTTTTAAACTAGAACTGTTCGTCTCTAGCATTCGCTGTATATATCATGGCCTTCTTAGCACTCGACAAAATCGTAGCACTACATGGCAGCGCAGCGAGCTGCTGCGGTCCTCCACCAACTTGTCGAGGGGCACATGCGTCTTCACTACACAAAACAAGCAGCGATGCAGCCGTGGCTCGTTCGTACCTGAACAGCGTGGAAGTGCGGCGATGCCCGCATCGACTGCAGTCCGTTGAGGTGCTCCTCCAGCCGGGAGAAGACGGCGTCCCAGCCCTTCACCAGCTGGATGCGTCCCTGATAGGACACCAGCTCAAGCTCCCGCCCTTGCCAGTCTTCCCGTACCTGAGAGCCAATCGGAAAGGATCGACAGAGTGGGGAGAAAAGAAGTGAAAAGGAAAGAGGCCGTGCCCTGTAACCACTACACTCTGTCTTGCTTGTGGCATGTGTCTGTTGATGTTTGCGTCTGCAGCCTGAACCACAATTCCGAAAATATCATCTACAGTGCCCACCCTCCGAGTTTACATCTATGCATTGTACACTTGCGACACTGCCGAATTATTTATCACCATTCTGCATCCTTCGGGAATAAATTTACATTTTTTTGTCTGAGCTGAGGCTGAAGTTCGGAAGCAATTACCAAAACGTTCTTCCCATTGGCAGGGAAATGCCTGAAGGCCCGCAGCCGAGCGCTCGATGGAAACGAAACCGATTGTGACCATCACCGTGTGCGTCCGAACAACCTTCGGCTGCTGAGAGCAGGAGATGCACAAACACACAAAAGGTTTCACACCACACACCTTACGCAAAGCCAACAATTTGGTCACGACAGCAAGAAACAAAGCGAACCGAAAAGCCGCCTCGCCTGTCGCAGGAACTCCTCGAGAGCCATCTCGCCCTGCGCGGCCAGCACCGTCTCCCCGATGCCTTTCTTGTGCCCCATCAGCGCGGAGCCCCACAGGAGACCGAGGTTGAGCTCTTGGAAGCCCACCCTGATGCCGAGACGTCGGAGCAGAGGCCTCCAGTGGCGGTCCTTGAGAGCTTCAGACCGGAGCTCGGTCAGCAGCGGCAGAGACTCGGACCTCGCCCGCAAGGTCATCTGCGACGACACATCACACCATGTGTTTTGCGTTTGGGACCAGAATCGTCGACGAAATTGTCACTAAGAAAGACCTCTGAATGCCGCGCGCTGCGGCCATCGGAACAGCTACGTATCTGCCCAAACCAACACAAACATCAAAAACAACCACAGAAAAATACCAATAACACTTGGCATACACCTGTGGTGATTGAATGGCTCGTACCGACGGGCCCTGCACGGCAATCGACACAGTCACGGGTCTGCCCAAACGAACACACACATGAAAAAAAAAACACCGAAGACAACGGCACTTGGCGCACACCTGTGCATGCTCGAACGGCTCGTACTGGCGGACCCTGTTTGGCAGGTTGCGCATCCCTTCCTGAACGGCTTCGAGCGACTTGCGGATCTTCCTGGGAACGGCGGTAGACCACGGGGTCTCCTCCAGCTCGGAGATGCTCTCCCACACCTTCGACATGGCGTCCCACACCTGCCCCCAAGAGGTTTACGTATCGAAAACGTAACCGATCCTAAGAACACCGTTCACATTTTCTCATGAGTAGATGCGGGGAAATCCAGTCGGTCGATACTTTCCTCGAGCGTGCTCTCGGGGTAATTGTTAGAATGCGCCGCGATTAGGGTGATTGGGGGGGGGGGGGGGGGTAGTTTGTGCGACCCATGGGCGATCGCGTCGTTCAGCAAAACAAAAAAAGGGTTTGGGGGCGGATACTATACTAGCCTAGATGCGGGGGACGCAAGTCTTCCAATAAGTGATTGCCCTGACTTTACGACCACTCACACTGTTAAAGAACACAAGCAGCAGTAAATAAAACGGGGTATGCTTGCGCGTGTTTCGGCTCTGCACCCCCGACTCGGCCCTGTCGAAACTCGACTTTCCCCAGAGTTTACCCTAGACCTCAACCCTGATCCTGCCCCACCCAACCTCACCTCCCGAAGGTCGGTGATCTCGGCCTGCATGGGTCCCAGCACGTCCCGCTCTATGGGTTCGAGAGACAGGGCATCTCTGGCCGCCGACAGGAGCTTACTTTCGGACTCTAGCTTGGCGGTCATGGTCTCGAAACGGCCGAGGGTCTCCAGGGCCTATGGCGTCATCGACATGGCACAAGGCACGGAGAGGGGGAACAGTGATTATCATAGCGCCAAGCGCATCGTGGGCTGCCGCTGCCAATAGCGGCGATACCACGACTTCGTCTTGAGAAGAAAATGAAGTGAATACTGTAGGACAAACGAGAAAGCAAAATACTCTATGTCAATACTCTTATTAATAGACGCCAACCGACCCACAGCAGTACCGAGTGCCGAGGGCGTCAGCAGAACTTTCAAAACCGAATGGGATGGATAACGTAGGAGGACAACGGTCCTGGGCTTCCGCAAAACTGAACGGGATATAAGATCCGAAACTTTCCGAGCAAATATACATATCGCCATTCCCGGCCATCGCTATCGCCATCCGTACCTCGGAAGGTGTGTGGTCCTTGGACAGTGGCCGCCCAGCCTCCCACTCCTGGGACAGGACGTTAAGCCTCTTCTCCATGCCCTTCGCCTCGGACCCCACCTTCCCGCGTAGCAGGGGAATGCGCTCTTCCATCGCCCGGCCTCTGCGAAACACGAAAAGGGCGAATATGGTTTGAGTACGTACCATATGACAATCAATCTACGGCCATGGTCACAATTGTCACGTCCCTGTGCCCGTCGGACCGTCCTCTCGAACTGGGGGTTCCGTGACTAGGGAGGGGGTGTGGGGTTGGGAAGTACAGTAGGGGCCGGGAGATAAAAGAAACGCCAACATCGGGTCGAGGCTCAACTTTTTCACAGTTTCGTCACCACCGTCGAGTGCTGCTATCCGATGGACGTAGCGTAGGGTCTTTGGCTGAGCTGTGTTTGTTAACTCAAATTTGCAAGTTTATGAAGCGTGAAATTCCGAGCCATTTTCCATAAATCATTGCGTCCCCAAAACTGAAAACTAAAAAATACCCACAACAAAACACACCGAAACACAAACAAATTTACAAAGTACATTATCGTCGAATGTCTGTGAAAAAAAACTGTTCACAAAAATATCTGTCCCGTTTCCCGTTGCGGGCCTGCACTGCACCTGCGCCCGAGGATGGTCTCGAAGTCGGCGTAGGCGGCCTCGACCATGGAGGTCTGCGGCCATCCCTCACCGAAGGGGTACCTCTGTCGCGCCAGCAGCCTCTCGCCCAGGCACAGCGCCTCGGTCTGCTTGCCGAGAGCCTTCTGCCGCTGCCTCATCTCCTGCTCGAGCAAGTGCCAGACGCGAGAAGATGAAGTATGTCATTAACGGGGGCGGGTTCGAACTCCTACCTAGGTGCTGCTGAAAAGAGGCCTTGCCAAAATCCAACTCCAACAACCAAAAAATACGAAAAAGCTTACGCCACCTCCTGCCCGATACACGCTCGTACACGAAAAAATGGTACGGAAAGGGGGTGAGTAATCTCGATGAAACTACCTAGCCTCACACCGATCAGGGGACCACACGCCACGGGGCTAAGATTTGAAGACGCCGAGGTCAACGGCGGCTTAACAGCAGAAATTCTGCTGCCACATGGGGCACCACAACACCCCCGTGGCATGCACTTGCTACCGCCATGAAAACCCACACAGCGTTCACGGTACCTGGATGTAGGTCACTCCCTTGACTACGTCATCCGTGCTGCCCTCGAGCATAGAGCCTTCCAGACGCGTTTTCGCCTCGGACAGCACATGCTGGGCCTGCCAAAAGTTGTCAACGAGCCAGCGGGTGTGTCGCCTGTGAGAACGCTCCTTTGCCAAGCGCTGAACGCGTTGCGTCAGCAACAGCAGTAGAGAAGATGCTCTGGTGCAGGCGTCCGAGCCCGCCACGAGAAAAACACTACTGGCACATCATATAACCGTGGACGGCAAGGTACAAGTCTCTCCCAAAGTGGAAAAAGTAGCACCGTATTGTATCGTAGGGCGTTGGTTATCGAAAGACTACTCTGTCTGCCACGGTTGCATGCAGAAGGCTTCGGGAGGATGGTTTCGTAACGCAACATTCAGTGGATCATCCAGTGGAGCAACTTTGGACTGCACATCTGCCGCACCACAATTACCCAGATACAGTTTAGAAGACACGCGAATGGTTAACAAACAGGACAGCAAAATGCCAATAATTCCTTCTGCCAGGAGACGCAACAACTACTCCGGAGGAGCGAGCTCTAACGCACCCTCGTCTCGGCAAGCAAAATCTCTAAACACACGCGGAGGTCCCAGACCTGAGAATGGAACGGAACGGAACGAACGCACCTGCCGGGTTTCCTCCGCCAGGATAGTTGCAAAGCTTCCCTGAAGCTCCTTCTGCCACGCATCGTACTTCAGGTTCACCTGTCGGGCAACAAGCAGCGTCAGGAGTCAGGAGATGCCAAGGTTGTCGGCTTCGGCGATCTCGCGACACCTCCATCTAAGCCATTGCAGAATGCGATACACATCAATAGTTTAAACCGAAAGGCGTGTAGGCCGGGACCTGAATATTGTATGGAGGAGTTTCCCCCGAGGGAAACATGCGCGGACTCATGCCAAAGGTGTTCGCGTCATGGCGTAACCGCGCGGGCACAACGCAGCAACACGGCGGTGGCAGCAGCGACAGCAGCGACAGCAGCGACAGCAGCATCACAACAACTAACGGCATCAACAACCAAACCAAACAGTAGACAGAAGAACAAGAACGAGAAAACCAACAACAACAACAACTACTACTACTACTACTACGCCCCCCACATGCTAACCTTCGCCTGCACGCTGGAGTAGTCCACGATGACCGGGCCGAATGCCTTCTCCCGGCTGGAGCTCTCCACCACCGCCCTCGCGGCCTTCGCCTCGGTCAGCATCTGGCACCACAGACTCACGTCGTTGCCAAGGCGTGTCCTCACAGCCGACACCGGCATGTCCCAAAGGCTCTGGTACTGCAGCCACGCCGACACGTAGTCGCCCACCTGTGCCGGCACGGGGGCCGTTGGTTAGGCCTTTCTACAGTATGCCCCGCTGAGCATACGTGCACATTCCCGGTGCCTTTTCTGTGGCCTTTCGCTGAGGCTTAAGATGATACCAACATCAGCCATATTTGGTCTTGCGTGCGATTTGCTTCTCCTCCAGCTACGAGGTCTCCTGCTGATAAAATTCCTTGGCGAATGGTACGCTCGTTCTCAAAAAGGAAACCGCAGCAGGCAGGACACCCACCACAGCAGACCACGTCCGTTCACGACGGACGCAAACGGTGTCGGTGGTTAACTCTCATATTTATTCTCCCACACATCGAGATCACAGACACTGCACACGGAAAAGACGCACCTCGGCAAGACGGGTTTCGATCTCTTGGTAGGCCCTCTTGAGCGTGTCTCGCGGTAGCGCCTTCACCACCCTGTGGTAGTCGGAGCTTCCCTCTCCCCCCTGCGGAATGAACGAACGAAAGCCGCGTTCGGTGGAACGCCCAAGGCCGTCCACGGCATCAGGACCCCATCATGACATTGTTACAATCGTTTCGAGTATTCAACACAATATGTAGGCACTCGCATGTGATTTCTGCGTTTGTCGTGCGCCTTGGGATATCAAGTTGGCGGGATATCGAAAGGGCCGTGTCTACGTCGAGAAAATCATTCGACCAATAAGCCGTGCTACAGCGATTGAGCCGGTATTTTGTAACAGCAGTGACGTTAATCCACCGCTAACCACGTTTCATCGTACGACACGTGCATCAACGTGGTTTTATATGTACCTGAGCGAAGCGAATGCAACAACCTCCACTGCAATTATAATTTTCGCGGGATGTTCAGAAGTCTCTGAGGTACAATCGTTCCACACGGACAACGCTTGGCTTCGACCTCCCACACTCACCCCAAGCACCGCAAAGCTCTTGCTGCGTAGCCTCGGGAGGCCCGCCACGGTGTGAAGGTAGGCGTGGAACTGGTGGATCCAGGCCGCGCGGGCATGCTCCAGCGGAGGCGAGAGGTAGAGCACCTTCAACAACAAGTGGTAAAGGAGCGTGCGAAGCATTGTGAAAGAGCTGCAAAAAGACACCCAAGCCGGTACTGGTCGCAACAGCGAGGGTACAAAATATTGGTTTCACGGTTCGCTATAATACCTTGCCTTCTTAGCAAGTGAGTCCCGCCGGGTGGGGGCCGAAAACGACATCAAATGCAAAACTTTAGCTGCCAAACAGCCACGCAACGCTTGTGCAAGAAAAAGGAGATACAGCATCATTTAGTCGCCGTCAGACCAAGACACCCTTCTCGTTGCCTGACTCTACTCTATGCCAACGGGAAACAACCACCTTCATCGAGAAAACAAACGTTCATGTTGGCAGCTCGAACGGCCGACCTCCTCACCTGATTCTTGAGGAGAACCTCGTGGACCGTGCACTCCATCTGCAGAGCGGCCGCGTGCTCAGAAGCATCCCCGTCCCCCTCCGAAAGAAAGCCGTCTCGATCACCATCAACGCCATCCTCGTCCTCGCTGGAGGCGTCGAAGGCGAACGCTTGCACCCATAAATTCACCGCCTGCAAGAAACGCGATACGCGTGAAGTAGGCACTGCTTTAGTCTCGAGTCCCAGTTTCGTCAGGCACAGGGCATTGGTTTGGGTGACGTGGGGCATCTTGAAAATTGAAATGCCTACCATAGCACTAGCATTTTCTCTCAAAAGTAGACTAGACCCTAGACACGGAGCCTTCGCATGTTGTAGCGAGCATCATCAACGCCATCACAAGGCTGCCGCCCCAAGCGGGCGCCTAGAACCAACTCATGCCCTTGAATGCAAGGTCACCTCAACTGTGTCGCTGTGGTTGGAAAGCACGCATTTCGACGAATCCAAGGCAGTCAGCACAGCACCGAAAGTATAACTACAAGAACGGTGTGATGGACGAGCCGGTACCACCAACACCCAGCGGTGCTCAAATAGAAGGTACGATGAGGTGAGGCAGCAGGTCAAACCATGGCTCCATGTACACATTATCGAGCATGTTCGCTTTCCTCAACTAGTATGAGGAGGTGGGGCAGAAGGTCGAACCATGGCTCCCTCTAGACGTTCTCGAGCCTCTTCCTTTCTCTCAAAACAGAAGGCAGAGGAGGCGAGGTAAAGCAGGTCAAAACATGCTTCCATTACACATTCCCGAGCCTCTTCGCCCTTCTCGAAGGTAGGCGGAGGTGAGGTAGAAGGTCCAAACCACTGCTCTCTGCCTACCTTCTCAAGCCTCTTCGCCAGCACGCTTTCCACCTTCTCGTCCAGGCCCCTTACCCAGGAGTTGAGGTTGCTGCAGCCCGCGAGAGACATGTCATCGACCACCTCCTGCGTCCCGCAAAGAGGAAAAAACCAACCATTCCACCAACATGGTGAGCACGAGTCAAGACCCGATCTTGGACGGGGTTGTCCTCTCGACACGCGGTAGTGCGCTTGGGGATTGTGACCACGCGCTAGGTTAAGGTGCCAGGGTGACGCGTGGTTCAGCACAGGTACGGCAGTCGACGTCGCGTTAAGACCGCGAGAAAGGGCCGACTACCGACCTGTATGGCCAAGGCTGCGGGCTGCACACGCCATCTACTGAATGCAGTAAAACAGGCGGGCATCATGTCTTGGGAAGGAACAGCCACTGCCACCCTACGGCCACGCCAGAACTGCCAACAAAGACGCAAGATGCACCTCTTCAAGCGCTCCTGTCAAGTGTCTACGACACGCTTTTGCCGGTGACAAGTATCCAAACATTCCGGGAATGCCACCATTTTCCCTCCTTCAATCTACCGTACCACGGAGCACGACCACGTCGTGGTGCAACGATGCAAGGAAATGACGAATCAAACCCCGTCGTCGGGAACCACCGACACCTCTCTCGCCTGTAGCGATGCCAGCGCGCTCCCCATGCTGTTGGCCTCGAAGGGGCACTTGTCGAGAGCGGTCAGTCTCTCAGCAGCGGTGACCACCAGCGTCGACACATCTTGAGCCTTCTCCTGGAGAGTGAACACCTGCGGAGTTTCGTCCGAGAAAACCAACATACGGACAAAGCACATCGCCCCCCATTATTACGACGAGCACAGGGTTGCTAAATAAGCGCCTCGAACGCGGAGAAGCGTCTTCAAGGTTTCACCCCACCCTTTCGCATGTTTGCTCCGTTCTCTCGAGGACGCGTGGTCAATGATCTAACGGTTAAGGCATGCAAAACATGTGTACGCCCCCTGCTGTACAAGTTTGAAACAACGGGGCACCATGGTCCTGAAAGAAACTCATTTTTAGCTTATAAGGCGGGGAGTTGGTTGACTTAACCCGGACGTCTTAAAGGCGGCAACCCTTGGAGTGTACCGAAAAAACATCTACTCACGAACATCTACTCACGCACCCTCATGCCGTCGGCGTGGAGGAGTTGACCGAGGTCGTCACAAGAAACCCACAAGCTTACCCCGCAAAGCTCTCTGCCCGTTTCACGTCGAAACTGCGCATCGCAGCCGCAGTACCGCAACATCCCGGTCCCGACACTCGACACACTTCACACCTTCTCAGCGAGGGATGCCACCCACCCCCCGAGGCTCTCCTTGCCCCACTCCATGCGCTCCGTGCTCACACGCCCGGTGCCGGACCTGGCCTTGCGAGGCTGATTGAAGGCCTCCGAGATGTGGTCCATCACCACCTTGAGGGGGGCCACCAGAAGCCGCTCTGTTTCCGGGGTTAAGCTCACCCTGTGGCACAAGGGCGACGTGTTCAGCAGAAAGGTGCATGCCCACATGCATAGGTTTTGAGGAATCCCAGTAGAGATTGACAGGTACCGATATGGTTGCCGTTTCAAGGGCATCCACCCCGCATTGAATTTGTTCGTGGGCGTCAGGACTTGCCTCGGGGCAGCTGACCACGGGCCATGTTGGAGTTTGAGCATGTTTTCGGTGAACGAGACCCGAAAAATTGCCGGCCATTGCCTGTGTGGCAGCAGTACCCAGAAACCAGACCACGAAACCTCTACGGGAAACGGAAACAAGACTGCAGGGTAGAGACGTTGGGTTGTCGAAACACACACACACACGGCCGACCGAAGCTGCAATCGACGCCCCTCCCTCTCTCCCTTGCCGTGACCGCGAGTACAGTACGTTTCGATTACAACCCCCCAGCAAAGGGCTCCACGACCCTCCCCTGCGATTACTGCCGTCAGACTAGAACGGTAGCGTACACACTGAAAGATTAAACGCAAAAACAAGATCGGCATCGGTCTTTCTCTCGCCCCTCCTTCGCGTCTTGCCTGGTCTTGGAGTACGTCCGGAGGATGCCACCTAAGGCGACGGCGGTAGGGTAGCGCTCCTGCGCTTTGGCGGCCATCCTCTGGATCCTAGACACGCCACCACCCGCGCTGTCCCCCTCAGTCACCAAAAGTCCGAGGAACTGGAGGTGGCGCACCTGACAGCCGCGAGTGGGAGGGAGGGCAGCAGTGAACAATCAGGAATCTCAACACAACCAGGTGATTCGCACGCGGCGCAAAGGACGCCAGAGTTCAGATGGACACGGCAGGAAGACACATGCGTATTGTAGTATACGGTAGGTTGGATGCTGCAACTCCCTATCTATGGTGATGTTTCAGCTGAAGTGAGCACACCTGTTGGTGGCTTTCAGCAACGAGACGCCTACGGGGGGAGGAGTTGAAGTACGAAAAAATGCACATGCAGCGTACTGCGAGACATTCTTGCTGACGCCAATTTGGTACTATGGTCAACAACACTAGGGTACCATGAACACGCTGAACGCAAAAACGAAAAGAAGCATGAACAAGATACTTCTGGGGTAATGCATGCAGTAGACGAACGAACGTCCACCGACCTCCTTGAAGAGCTGAGTAGTCTTGTCGTCGAAGTTGATGGCGAGGGTTGGGTGCCCCTTCCTGTCTTGCACCACCTGCGGTCATCACCGACAGCAGCAGCATGAACAACAACAACAGCAACCATCACCAAAAATCGGCCAAAACAGTGAAACTGACAGGAAACAGATGGGCACCGACACCCGGCGGCAACAGCAAGGCCAGCAACGGAGTAAACGCATCAACACAAACAAAATTCGTGTATAGGCTTACACAAACTAAAACTAAGCCGCGTTTCCAGCCGGCTTTCTTCCCATTCACTGCGAAGACTTCAACGCAACACATCTCCTTCGACAGTGGTATTATCTCGAAAGCCTAGTACTCAGTATATTTCTAAGAAAACAACAAACAAACCGCACGTCTCCTACTGAACAAGATTGGCAGCCGCAAGCGACGAATCGCGGTTGTTCCGCCAACAACACTACAAATACATGGACAGCGAAGGGAAGCCATGACATTGTACTATAATACTACAGTTGTGCTCGTGTTCACCGATGATGTCAGGAGAAAGAAGCCAAACTGACCTTGAGGAGAAGGCGATCGTGCACGACCTCTTCGCTGTGAGACGACCACTCGTCAATCCACTGGCGGTACACCCTGTCCAAATGTATGATACATGTACGCACGTCACAGAAAGGTGAGCTTCATGTCGCTTCATGCTAGAAGTACCATATTGTAGCTGATCTCGAGCAAACGCATACTGCCATTTGAGCGTCCGCGGACAGAGCACTATGATCCATGTAGCTCTCACATAGGGTGGGTGAAACTCTTGGGGCAGATAGAAAGCAAGGTGCTGTATTCACGGGGTATTTTTGAATCAGGCCGGTGCCCGCTACAGGGCGGGTCAATCGGGCTGGTACATGCCCGCATTGAAGAGCCGAAAACGGCGGCGTTGAAGCCGTCTGGTCGAGAGAGAGCTTTCCGAAAACGTATCGTTTCGTTTTTGCATCCACTTCGTCGTGGACCATTCGAGCTTTGAAAATCCAGCGGATGTGGTATATTGTGTCACCCACGGTACCCACCTCATAGAGTGCCAACGACTGCAATACCGCCACAGCACTGCAAAACCAGTGCAAAGTCGACGGGTATCACACCATTCATCGGAAAACAGACAGCTGTGTGCTTCTGGCCACCACACCCCAAAGTATGGTATGAATCAAACCGACCTCTGAGTGTCGAGGTTCCTGAGCAGCTCGTCGCAGACAGCCTTGAGAGGACGCCCGTCTACGTGGTTCTCCCACCCCTCCCCGAGGACGTCCGACAGCCGCGTGCTCAACAGCCGCAGCTGCCTCTCCATCTGCCTCGCCCACAGGATCTTCCCGGCTACGGGGGGGATGTCCCTCAGGGACGCCAACGCCTTCGCCTCGGAAACCTGCTCGAGGGGAGGTAATGGCCAAGCCCAAGAGCGAGACCGTTGGAAACATGCGGGGGGTTGGGGGCGTTGTTAGACAAGAAGTCTGCCGACGACCAAGGCTAAGAGCGAGACCGTTGGAAACACAGGGGGGGGACTTGGAGGCGTTGCTAGACAAGAGGTCTACCGACGGCCAAGCTCAAGAGGGAAAGGGTTGGAAACACAACGGGGGTTTGGAGGCGTTGGTATTAGACAAATTCGAGGCTTCCATGAAGTGGTAACAGAATAGGCGAGCGCGCTGTGTGCACGCTGGCAAGGGGGCTCAGCAAAGAAGCCAGCGCTGGAAGAACGAGGGTGCCTCTCAACTACTTATCATACACCATGGCCGTTGCCGCTGAACGTGCTGACGAAAGCAAGAGCGTACGCACCCTGCCGAAGAGCCCCGCACTCGATGGCGAGCAAAAGGCCGTGCGTGGCGCATTGTGGGCATGATACGTGATAGGCGGCTCGTAGCAGCGCCTTGAGATGCATCGAAATGGTTAGAAAAGGGCAACCGTGCGTAACGGCGGCAAAATCTCGACGGCCTTCGTCCCGGAAAGCCAGAACATACAATGAAGGGAGATGGAACAAAGCGTCGGTACGAACGCGCAAAAATACCGCAAGCTGACTAACAGTCGCACCTCGTATCGGTGCCTGAACTTATCCTGAATCGCTGACACCGCTTCCCTCACGTGCCCGATCAGTTCCTGCTGGAACTGGGCGATGGACGCCCGAATCCTAACATAACACGTACGGTACCAGCGGCACAGAGCACGGTCACACTGAGGGGAAGAGGCCCAGGGGACATGTTGGCACCTCAAAGCATGAACGAGCACCTTCGTGTGAAGCTCCGTCAGCGTACGAGGGCATCACTTTCCAAAAGCGCTTGCATGTCTAGCCCATGGTCAAAAACAAAGACGTAGACCAGTGTCCACAACGCAACTACTGCTGTGTATGCCGCATGCTCAACAACATACCCGTCACTGCTGCGGCGAAACAAACCGATACACACTTTGGCGCAGAGAGAAGAGAGAGAGCGGATGGGGGCTTCGCGAAGACGAAAAAAGTGGATATAACGCAACAGCGCCCACGTAGATTCCTCGCCACACGTGTCATGCCACCACATGCCATGCAAGAGACCGCCTTTTTCATGGAGGTCATCGACAGACAGATACACAATCACCCCAGATCATCACCATTACAAGCGTGTTCCGTTAGTAGCCACTGAGACTGGCGTATTTCCATTGGTCAGCCGGCTAGCGCTGTCCATGCTACCGACCACACACACACACAAACACACGTGGAATCATACCTTGGCCGCACGAAGAGTGGGTTAAACTTAGCAAAAACGCGGAACATCTCCTCGGCCGTCCTGGCTGCCCTAAGCCTTCCCTCCAGCAGAGCCGACACCCTCGCCTCCAGCCCGTCCACCCTCCTGTCGTAGGCCTCCCTCGCCTCCGCCCATCTCCTGGCACCCTCCGCCCCAAGGTCGAGCACGTCTGATCCCGGCAGACGGGCGTAGGCTTCGTCTACCTGTGAACAAAAAAAATGCAGAAAGTTAAGGGGTAGGGATGCCGTGAGATACTCTCCTTGCCCTCTGGTCCATCGCTCCGCGACGAAGCGGGTGTTGATATCGAACGATGAGCTTTCGGGAGGCTCCCGACAAGACGGTTCCAATGCTGCTGTTTTTCGCCAACGTCGCTGGTTTTGCTGAAGTGTGGTCGAGCTTTGACAAATCGGTCTACGGGGTGTGGTACCAATGCAGCCGACGGTAGGCCTACACTGCGGTGCATGTGTTTGTCATCCAATCTATTCTGGAGGTCACATCTCACCTTTCTGTGTGTTTCAGACTGGCACGGCAGGAACACGGCATACCCCCCGCCAAGTCGCATATTACGGTTGCCCCCAAAAGCAAGTGGTCGTTAAATGCAAGATCGTCGGAGCAAAAAACCTATACCATACACACGAGCCAACAACGGCTGTAGTCATGTCCCCCAAATATCACGGCGTCCCACAAACCTGCTGCAACGCAAGGACGAAAAACAAAGAAAATCATCCCGCGGTCCGTGAGTCACACATCATCACCATCATCAAGCAACACCGACTCGCCTCCGACACGGCCGAACGATCGTCGTCGCTGAGAACGGTCTGAAGAACGCCGCGCAGGTTCTCGTGCTGCTTCCGGAACCCGGACACCTCCCCCAGCCTCTGCTTGAGCGGGGGGTGCTCCCAGCGCAGCGCCTCCAGGAGGGAGGCCCCGGAAGTGCTCCCGAGCACGCCCGACCTAGCGGTGCTGCGGCGCTTGCAGTGCTCCGCGAAGAAGGCCACGAAGGCTTTGTACTCCTGTGGGTGAAGCGGATCAAGCACAAGAACAGAACAAAAAACGGTGTGCAGAAAGTAAGTAAGCTCCCGATGTTGGAAAGTGTGCGTTGGGCGGAAGTCGCCACGGCTGTCGTTCAATTCAGAAAAATCGAGCGGCCAGAGCAGTCGAAAAAGAACCGGCTCTAGCACCAAGAATCGTTTTTGGTGCTATGACGACAACACCCGAAAAAGAGGGAGGGAGGGGGGGCAAAATTTGCATCCTGCGTCGCAGCCTTCGGAGTTGAATGTTTTCCAGATGGTCACGGTGGCAAGGGTCGGACTCCGAAGCTTCTTGAAGACTGCTTGACAAGCCAACACCATTTCGGCGTCTACAACCTAAAGCGAACACGATCGGTCGGGACGCAACCGCGCCGTTGAGATTACAGTACCAGTGCCAGACACCAGACAGATCACAGCAGAAAGTACACCTTCACCTCCCGCTCGATTTTGATTTGCCCCTCACACACCACGGAAGGCGCCCGGGTCAGTTGGACAGGTACGGAAAATAGAAGGTACTGTACTCAGCGCAGGCCGGAATGGTTTTCAATGCGAGGACATCAACAACAACAAACAACAACATAGCAACGGACTTCCCAAGTTAAAGTTGGTCCAACCGCACGAAGACAGCATCCCCACCGAATGGCACAAGAGTGGCCTGCTCCAACTACATAAAATTGTTATCGAGGTCGGTCAAACCAAATAAAGCAGTATTGTATGTACTGTACGTCATTCAAAAAGCTTCAGAGCGTCGCCAGTCATTCTAGTTCGGCTACTGTAGTTACCTTGTCCCACGTGGTGAAGGCGTGGTCGACGTCGGCCATGAAAGCGGCGAACTCGGGGTACGCCATGGACATGAGCCCCGTCCGCTTATCCACGTCTCCCCCCTTATAATTCAGGCGATGGCGATGTATCGTCACCACCATACAAACCGATAGCGTCCATGTCCGCCACCGAACACAAACAGCACGAGTCAAAGCGAAAGAAATTCGGGCCTTGTCCATGTTCCAAACGCAAGGTAACAGCTCTAGACATAGTCTAGCCCACATCCCCCAAAACAACACCAAGATATACGGGCGTGCTGCATGTATGACTAGGCTTTTCGTCGTGTGCTGGCTAATTTTCGCAAAATCAAACAGTAAGTTACCCTTGAGACTCGAGATCTGAGGGTTGAACGGTATGGTGCAATCAGCGTGAGGAACTTGAGCTGCTCCCCGGCAAGAGCGTATGCATCTCACGGCATCTGTCCGTAGTATGACACGAACCAATAGTCTACTGATAGTCCCCGACCGCGAAAAGTACGAGACTTTTGGGACTACCCAAACAAGCACGAAGCGATGGATTCAGCAACACGGCAGCACCCATCACGTTTTCCACCGGCGCAACGCATCCGACTACACCGGCGCCAATGGGTGTCACTCGGCGGGCCCACACTATTTAGCACTACAAATACCACCAACTACTCCGCATGTTGCATGATCTTCGGAACCCGCCAACTACAGTACTTGATCGTCACATGCCAAAAAACATGACGAGAGATGGAACCACGCATATGTATGCCCCGAACCTCACCGTATCTCCGAGACAAAGCGATAGCTGCTGAGCAAACGCGCGATTGACGCTCTCCATCAGCTGGGCAGCTCGCCCGGGCTTGTAGCGCTGCGTCGCAGCGATCACCAAAGGCAAACAGATGTTGTACCACAACCGGGAGAGGCGCAGTGAATGCCACATAGCACAATATAGAACGAACAACAATACCGACCGGAGAGCAGCCAGGTGCCGCGAAGCGTAAGGAAGGCGCGACTGCAGTGTTACCTACCATGGTACATCGGTGCTGGCCAGATACTGTCACCTCGCCGGCTCGGGATCCGGCGCCTGCCTCCCAGCAGCCGCCGCCGGAGTCAACCCTCCCACCACCACCACCGATGTTACAGATGCAACGGTGTTTCCCTCTAACGAGAAGCTAGAAGATCTTCCGCGAAAATGTTCTAACTTCTCGATAGAGAGAACCACCGTGGCATCAGCCAAGATCGGTGGTGGTGGGAGGGTCGACCACGGCGGCGGCGGCCGCTGCTGGGAGGCAGGCCCCGGATCCTGAGTCGGCGAGGACAGCGCCCGTCGCTGCCTAGCCCGGGGGGCTGCAGCAGGCGAGCTGGTCGCGGGAATCGACAACGAACGCGTGCTAGGCATCTAGATCCCTCTCCAAATTTCCCGCCCTGGACGTCCTTTCGAGAGGTTTTTGCTTTTCCAAGAGGGAAGTGTCAACGGGGTAAAGATTTCAAGTCACTTGGGGGGCCCTGCAGTTGGTTGCGTTCCGTGCCGAAACTGCATTGTATTCATCTGATTGGCTCCCACTTGTACCTAATTTTCGAGACAATTTGGGCCTCTGTTTCTTGACGAAATATTTCTTAACTGCGTGCCCATTCTCCAGTATTTACAGCACACGAGAAGCATTCAATGGGACGCCTACGAACCGGGGTGAGCTTGAGCTTCTGCTGGAAGTGGCCGAAGATGGGCGGCAGAGCGGACGCCACGTCTGCGGGAGACTGGCACGAGAGAAGTGGCTCAAGGGGGAAGGTCCTGAGGAAGCCGTTCGCGTCCGCCGATACGTCCATCGCGTCCCTCAAACCAGTGTCTGCGGGCGGACCACGGACAGTTGCACGGGGGGGAGGCGGCACGATGATCTGCGTCACAACGAAAACTAGCCTGTGTTTCGCCGTGCGTGATTAGTGACGATGACTGCTGTCTGACAGCTCGATAGTGCATGTCTTCGTCGTGCGTGCAAATGGTAAATGGTCAGCCGTATGGCAGGCGGGGTGCCATCGTTACTCAACAGGGACCGAGAAAATATTGGTACACAACAGCAACAGCACGTCGCGTACCTACCCTCCAACCTATTCTAATAGCCTAAGGGACTTGTTCTAACCGATATACATTAAGGCGGTGATTGATGTATATACATTTATCCAGTGAGTCACCTGTGTCTAAGGCCATCACCGCCACGAACCGCTTTCCCTGGTTGAGCACGGCACGAGTCACCTCCACCCTAGCAGAGCTATTGAAAAAAAAAAAAGGAGCAACCGACAGAAATGGGGGCACCGTGAAATACGAACGAGGGATGGGGGGTGTTCAGCGGTGAGGGGCTGTGGACTGCTCAACGGCACAAGCTTCCATCAGCAAGGTCGTTCGAACACGAGACAATCCTAACTCCTCTAATCACGTGCCCAAAGTTCTTGCAAGCAGTGGGAGTACCTCACCCGGGGAGAACAAAACAATATCATACCATATACTATAGTATCATAGCGCTCCCATGTCCCCGTTGATGAATCACACACCAAGAGCCACGCTTCACCGCCTAACCCGTTACACACCAAGCCGCCGGTTACACTACTGCCGCCCGTTAAGCCAAACCTAACCCTCGTGTCACTGGTGGCGCGCGAGTCGTTTGAGCATTGGGCCTGGCATTGAAAGAGAACATGTCGGCACTCCCTCGAAGGATGCCGTAGAATCGACCTGTCAAAGTGGACGCCAGCATTATCCCATTCCATCCTACCTGAGCTCCGTATTGGTCATCTCGAGGGCCTCTCCGATGGAACTCCAGAAGTGAATCTCCTCCGCAGCGCTCTCGGGAAAGGAACGATTCGTGAGGTTCGTCAGCTTCTGGATGTCCTTGACCCACACGTGCACTCCCGCCTTCACGCGAAAGCAACGCGATGCGAAGAGATGCGCAGAGATGGAAACAACGTAAAAAAGAGCGGTGAGAGACACAAGGGTCGTGACCCGCAAGGCCAAATGGTCCAATGTTGGCGTGAGCGTACCACGTGCGCTTCAGCTAACACTGGCCAGGGCTGAACGCTGCTTGGGAGTACCAAGCGTCAACGGACAAATACACTAGCCTAACGTCTGACTTACTCGCCTTAGGCGTCGGGCGCTGGATCGCGCAAGCCGCACGTTCCGGGACATTGATCACCGGGCACCTTCGCAAACGTTCAAGCGAACCACACGCCGAGAAGCTCACTACCCCACACCCCGCCGCCTACCGTATATGACACAAGATAACACACCCCCTGGACCGATTTTCAAAGCTCGATTACTCCACGACGAAGAGGATGCATAAACGAAACAATACATTTTCGAAAACCTCTCGACGAGACGGTTCCAACGCCGCCGTTTTTGGCGCTGTGACTCTTCCTGCTGTTGAGAAATCGAGCTTTGAAAATCGGCCCAGGGGGTGTGTTATCTTGTGTCATATACGGTATGCTCTACGCATCACCGGCCCTCGGAATTCGGCACGCAAGGCGGCCCAACCTTCGCCTCGCAACAACACTGGAAGCATCACCACTTACCCCTGCTGCGGCCGCCACGCCAACCACCATGCACACGTACGGCAACGCATATCCCAAAACATCTCAACTGGCAGAGCAACACGAACGATGTCAGGGTGACCGAAACATCGCCTTGCACGGCAGCAAAGGAGGCACCGGGGATTCATTCCCAAACCTCCTGACCGCTGTGCCGTACCTGAACTTGGTTCAAGAAGGCGTCTTCCTGAACACGCTTCCCCAGGCCCACAGCGTCCAGGTCCACCTGTCCCCCCTTGCCGACCTTGCTGCTAGCTGCTTCCACCTCCGGGTGTGCCGTGAGGGCCACTGTGGGAATCTCCAACCTTTTCTGGCAGCGGTCTAGCGCTTGCTCTAGTTCCGTGATTCGTCGCTGAAGGACCGATACCCCGGAGTCCAGCTGTTCGCAGGTACACCAGCAGGAGCAGCGTTAAACACAATTCCTCATGTGGCGTCTTTCATTAAAAAATGGCCACGAGGACACTTCATATCACGCCCGACTTTCCAAAGCAGCATATGGAACAAGAAGGAAACCAAACACCGGATGTTCCAATACATCGACTCTAATGAAGAAAGAAGGCACCATGCGCACTTCTCTTTGTCCATTCAATACTCCAGATTTTACAGACAGAAAGATGGAGTTGGCACCAATTGGACAGCACTCCACAAAACCCAACTTGATCGCGACCACGTCTCGGATCAAGACTCCCTGACGCAAAAAAAACTCCCCATCCTATCGCAAGCATTGCGAGAATATCGTCCTCCAGGCGCTCTCCCTCTGTCTCTCTCGCTCACTTTGTCATCCCCACCCCTAGCAGCTGCGTACGCCCGGACGGTGGGCGCGAAGACGTGAGTGGCGTAGGCCTGAAGCACCGAGAAGACCGACCCACTCGGCGGCATCCCCTCTTCCGCCTTGCCGCCGCCGCCCCCGCCGCCGCCGCCGCCGCCCTTCGGCCCTGAGGCTTCCGCCTGGGCGTCGCTGCCCGGGAAGGACATTAACTGCGCCACGGCCCCAAGTCACCCCAGAGATGGATGCGTTTCGGGGAGAGTGTTGAAGGTCACCATCGCCGTAAGTAACGAATGTGAGATATGAATTGCATACAAGATGACGCTCTAGACACGTAGGGAATAAACTCGAACTTCATCCACGCTCGGAGGCCATAATTCAACTTTGCTGCCCAATTGCAGAGCCCGAAAAATGTACGCAACCGGTTAAGGTGCCCAAGCACATGTGTGGCAAAGGACAATTTCGGAACTAACCAAAGGGGGCGTGTCCACGCTAAAGAGGGCGGGTCACTTCCTACTATAGAGACAACATGCAACTATTATACAGTTCGTGTAGACAGACAGCTCGTGGTGCACCAGAGAGGGCGAGCTCGCTGAGCCAACCCATGGACACGATGCTGAACGGTGCGCAGCACAAGGACAGGTTGGGCATAAGGAAATCTGCACAGATTTGGCCCCGGGGGGCGTTCGTCAAACACCACGTGAAATCGCATCCATACCCCTAGGGCCAACTCCCATTTCGCAACTCGCATGCTCTACATAGCCCGGGGCGCCAATGCAAACCTTTAGCCACACCCTCGACTACTTCTTGGGAGGGCGAGAAGCAACTCCTCATTGACAAGGCCAACTCTGCGTAGATTGCTACGATATCATTCGACGCACAAGCATCTAAATATCAACCGCGTGTGTGATCTTTCACCAGAGCGCCGCCACCGTACCTGAAGCTGCGCCTGGAGAGGGCGCCTCGTCGTCGGTTCCAACCCTCCGGGATGCCTTTTGATCACCGCCAACCCAGGCGCATCCTCCACATGTCGCGTGTCCAGCCCGAACCAGAACCCGCCCACAGCGGCGCTGCGCGTGCGCTCGTCCACCCCCCCTCCGACTGTCCCACGGGGGCCCCCGCCCTCGGCCCCGCTTACGCCGCCGGCGGCGGCTGCGGCGGCTGCGGCAGAGGCGGCGGCGTCCTCCAGCTCGACGAACAGCGCCGACGGCTGGACGTTCGATGCAAACCTTTGGTTCCGATTGTTATTCCAGGCGAGCAGCGGTGCACGCGCGATGAAGCGGGGAGGGGGCTCATGTTGCGTTAGCTCTTCGACATTTTACCACGCGTCCTCGAGGGGACGGAACATTGTTCCCACACGACCGAAGGCCAATCGTTCCTTCCTACCTTGCCAAAGGTGCCTCCATTTTTTTTTAATCTACTGCTGCCGATCGGTGTCACTTTCCGCCTTTCAGCCGACTCTTTATGCCGCACTATAGCTATTGCTGTCTTTTGGCTATTCTATTCCATGCCTCAAACATATCTGTGTTTCTTCCTGCTATTTTTCCCAGCTCAGCCATGCACATTTCTCTCTCTTTTTCGTAAAACGGACATTCTGCAACTCCATGAACCCGGTCTTCGCACTCAGAGCCGCAGTCACAGTTGAATTCATGGTCGCCTTCGCCTTCGCCTTCGTGTACCATCCTAAATCTTCGTCTACAGTACATTCTCGAAGGCCAACATACCCAGCCCTAAATTTGACCTTCAGCTTTGTCCCTGCATCCATTGGTCCTCTGTAGGCTCCTTGAACCCTATGCCTTCTTTCAACGTTCCGTACACATCTGCACCCTCCTTTTCCTTCGGTTCTTCGTTAGATTCTGTTCTCCGGGAAAAGCAACATAAAGTATGTATCTTCTTGAAGCCCTCTAGGCCTCCCGTTTCACTGCATCAAGTTCGTCAATTTCGAACTCCTTCCATACCTCATCTACAGTTCAACCTTGGCCCATAAAAACGATTACTGTTGAAGACATCAAGAGGTGCAGAGTTGAATCACTGCTGTTGATAGAGACAGCAGTGCCTGTGCAAGGAACATGAGTCGACCTCGTTGCTCCGTTAGCTTCAATCATGGACCCCGGCCCTCTTGTGGACACCGCAACGCATTGTCTTCCTGTCTTTTGGCCACCAAAAAGAGAGCGTAAAAAAAGGACACAATGAGCACTAGTACGGAGCACGCACGACAGCATTGGAGGAGAAGACACACACGACACTCACGTGCTGAGCAGCGCGCACGCATCTGGTGCTTCCAAGGCCGTGCGGAAAGCCTGCGCGCTACGGTCCCCCTCCCCCTCCAGGCCTAAGACCGCGGGACACAACGAAGCGAGGTAGGCCTGCAGTTCTGCCAATTCGGCCCTGAGGTCTTCCCCCTGAACCAGCTCCTCGGCCGCCATCGGCTGGAGCGCTCTACTCATCGTACAAGGCGTTGCATGGTACAGCAGCAGCAGCAGCAGCAGTGGCACAGCAGTACATACGATCGAACTCGATACAACAGCAAAGTGTGGCCTTGGCTGAGTTACATACAGATTGCATGTGGTATTAGACGTGCAACACAACATGTATCGCGCTGCAGCGTGTGGTGCAACAGTAGCGCGTGTGTGTCAACGTGGTGGGGATCAGGTAGTCTACAATGCTGCAGTACTTGCTGGTTCTCTGGCCGGCGCTACCTCAAGCGGGTGCAAGTGTTGACGCTTGTGCGCAAAGAACAAAATAACGGTGATTCAAAAACTCTGTACAGGCTAAGGAGTTTGTTTGTTCTCACGGAAAAGCGGGGTGCAAAACCGTCACCTTCAGGGATCCTGCAATGCGACAACAAGAGCGAGAAGCAACCGCTAAAGCCGTCCTCCTTATCGCCAGCAGGCGTCTGCCCTGCCCGCTGCTCTGCTCGGTGGTGTGCTGTTGTTGGGGCGTTGCGCGTGAGTGAGTTTTCAAGGGGGCACGCCAACATGACTCCGCACCCTACGGAACCCCTCGGCAAAATCAAGACATTTTTAAATCGATCGTGCGATCGTGCGACGGATCTGATCTCGCCACTCGCCACGCAACCCAAAGGAGAGGAACGCGAGGTCAATACTGTAGGCATTCGGACGAGGTGAGTGATTGATTGCGTCGGTGGTCATTGCGGGGCAGAGGATGGGGGCGGCAGGGGCGAATCGTCAAGGGTGAGGTATCGTTTTTCTTGCGTTCGAAAAATACAGCGGAGTTGTTGGGTAGTCTATGTAGATCATGAGAGAGACGAACACCATATGGCACTTCACGCAAAGTAGTCTACAGCAGTAGTGGCCAGTGACCTGCACCACCATGAAGGAGAAAAAGCTTTCATGTACCTACTCTTTGATTGGGTGTGCACTACAGGGTACAGCATACAGCGCATGTATGCATACGCTGACTCTTTGTTTGGCATCATTGTTCTTTCTGCTACACCTTCCCAACATAACTAATATATGAGACACACAATACAGCTACCAAACTGTTTTGTTGAGCCTGTTACCCGCAGGGGAGATGTCCCTGTATGCTGTCTGGGAAATCGTAGACATATACAGGTAGCTTTCTCTGACGCTATGAATTCATTGCTGATCTGTCTCTGACTCTTTTCTATGATAGAGATGGATTCGTTGTGTCATATTTGACAGCAGTTTCGGAACCAAAAAAAAACTGAAATAAGGAAATATATTTTGAGTTAAGCCATCGTTCTGAGGATCGTTCCTGACAGTCTCGCCAGAACCCAAGACAAGGGAAAAATAATCAGATTTAACAGCGGAGGGAGGCTCGTTTTGTGGAAAATTTTGCCAACTTTTCGATTTAGCAGCTTTCTTTGAAATAACACAACAGGCACCACACACAACACATCATCAGGCACCACCCACACGCACACACACAGTCTGCAAGAGCATGTCCAGCGGCCGCCCAAATAAAACCCAGAGCCCAGCGCAAAGGCCCTGGAGTTGGCGCGCCACCAACACAGAAAGGGGGAGGCTGCACGGTCAGAAAACCAAGTTGGGGTTGGTTGTTGCGCGGCTTTGGGTCAGCAACACGCGCCCGTGACACACAGGTTGAGGCAAGGGGGAGAAAGAGCGCCGGAACGAACCGCGGCAACCGACGACGTAGAGGAGGTGGCAGCACCGCCAGCAAAGGGCAGAGAGGAGGAAGAGCACGCAGTTGCCTTCTGGTGACGCGCCGCAAGAAGGAGTATCCCCTGCTTCTACTTGAGAGAGCGTGTTTGACTTCGATGTGCCCCCGCCCCAAAAAAAATGCGATACACAGCACTTCGTACAGGGCTGCCGGGCAGTATGTGTACTTCCTGTCGCTGTTCTGGTGCGGGTTCGTGTGCTGGCGTCAAGGGGGCAACACAGACACGCACACGCATGCATGCACGCACACTCAACAGCAGTGGGAGCGCTGCGTGACAGGGTGCAGCGCACCACAAAAAACAGCAGTACCTGCGAACAGGGGAAGTTCGTTGAGTGACTGTCGTCCCACAGCCAATCACATGAAGCCGCCTTAAATCGAAAAATATTCGCCTGCAGGAAGTTTCCAGGAAACTTTCTTATCTCAAAATCTGTTTCCTTATCTCAGCAAATTTGGAGCCCCAGTCCGAAACTGTGAATTAAGGGAAAAAAAAAAAAAAATGATGTTGTGTACGGTACTGGGCCCTCTTTAGTGCCGATATGTGCCCCGACCGTTCACCGGCGCTAAATCGGGCCACCGGCACTAATACGAATAGTGCCATAACGGCACTATTCTGGTTTCGAAAAACCCTCATTAGTGCCGGTCCTGCACTATTGAGGGCGTGTTGGATTTCATGGTACGGCGATTATGCTTTGCGGGGTAACAGAGTACGAAATCGAAATGGATCGAAGTTCGTGAAATGTGAAATGGTAGCGTGGGCATGGGCAGACTTTCTCGCGACACGTGTGGTTCCACCCTGTCGAACACACAGAGGTTGTTTTAATACAAATACTTGCATGCTGTACCGTTTCTTTCTGCCCGCCTCAGCACACGTACGTACGTCCTGCACAACCTGAAATGTTGTCGGGGGGGTAGCAGTTCTTCTGTGGCTGGCGTGGACGGCACGCGATTGGCTCAACCAACGCTCTCTTTTGGCAGCCAAGTGCATTCACGGACGCCCAGATAATATTATTTGGAGGTGTAATGCGTATTAAACACCAAATGTGGCGAACAATCATGATGATACAGGCAGATGCACGACTTCCGTGTGGTTGTTACCTGCTGACCTCGACCACAAAAGGTCGACCTTTTCCTCCTGTCCCTGACGAAGTGTTCCTCGGAGTTATATATGCATATCTCACCTCAAAGTTGTCCCTCTGGACGACTTCCCATAACCCATAGGCGCGACATGGACCCTGGAAACGACATGCAGAGCAACTGCGGCCACCCGGGGTGCACGAAGCAGCCGTCATGTGGTACAGCTAGCAGCATGAAGGCGGAAGTGGCGCCGAGCACGCGCCGGAAGACATGAACCATCTCAACCATGAGTATGTGGAGCGGCGCCCGACCTACACCCATGGACTTGATATTGAAGCCTAAGTAGCGGCGTCCATGCGCGGTGCCAAGCACGTGGCAGCGAATACGGACGAGTACGTGGCTAGCGGGCTGACGAGAGAGCAGGTGAGTTAGGCACCGTCAGGGGGCTGCCTAGAAACCCAAGTTGAGTTTCCACGACAATGGCCATCAATACTTGAGAGTAGTGCAGAGACCTGGCAGTCGGTAAAAAATGCTGTTTTGCATTTCATGTTTTTCAGCCTCGCTTCCTAAATTCCTTGTTATTTATTTTGCGTTCCAAATCACCGACCCATGGGTAGGTAATCTCCGCGGAAACGACTGTCTGTTTGATTTCAAACCCCGCTCCCGGGTATGTATTTTGGAAGGGGGGACGCCTCCGACTACCTATCGCTGTTCCAGGGTTGATGTTCTACAACAGATGACGTACGTGTGTATTGACTTGTGTACGCATCTTACACACATGTACCACACACGTTCGTCTAGAGATACGGACGACCCACATAATAACTAGTCTGCTCTGAGCTAGCTGATGTCTGTGTATGGACGATGTGCATGGTCTGGGTTGTTTCGAGAGAGATACAGAGCGAGCGATGCAAACACAGGGAGAGGCCAGTCTCTTCGACGGGACTCCTGAAATTCCATCTCACGTGCATGCATGCACATACATACATATTGGCGACCAACCAGACACAAGCCGCGCTGCAACGATCACACACACACACAACACACACCAGACACATATACCCTAGCCAGGCATGGCTCAGATGTTCAACCAACCATGCCCCTTCCAGGGGGGGAGCACACAAGATGGATGGCTACGCGCCCCGGTGTCACACAAGCGAAGCCCTGACGGCAAGTAACCACGATTCCGATTTAGAGGGAGAGAGAGGGAGAGAGAGGGAGAGAGAGGGAGGATCTGGATGGATGATAGTAGACTGAGGTGTCCTGAAGCTCCAGGGCTGCGGGTCTAGATCATTCTCACCCCGTGGATTGAGGTCGTGTGTATGTCCTCCCTCTGGCGTCTTTGCCCCTGACCGAGACTACCAGCTGCTAAGAACTGGAAGGAGTGGCTGATGGATGGAGCCTGTTTCTTTGCTTCTCTGTTATGTTCAGTTGGGGTGATATCCCAATGGCAGAAAACGCCAAGCTGGCTTGCTCGGTGGTATCTGTTCGAGTGGTAGTAGCCATGGTCCGTGTCGGCAGGGTGTTTTGTTGGGTGGAGTGTTTTTGCCCTCGCGCGAGCTCCCTCTTCACTAATAGGCGGTGGTCCAAAAACGCTCAAAGATCCTCCCGCCTAAAATTAAACGCGTTTTTCTTTGCTTTGTTTTCTTGTCTTGTTCGAAAAAAGAAAAACGTCTTCGCTCCGTGGAGGTACCGCTCTCCTTCCCGCCAATGGGAGGTACCGGCCGATCGGCGATGGCGGACCAACCACCGTACATGTTGTGTCTACCTTCTGTCCTCCTTCTGGGGAAGCAGCTTGAACATTCTGTACATCCCACCGACACAGCCGTGACGGAACGGTGGAGAGGGTGTACTGAAAGGGTTGCCCCTAACGTCAGAGCTGCTGGGTGCTGGGTATTGTATTCCACCGCCTAAGAAGTGCCTATCGTTGTGATTTTGTTTTGTTCGAGAGCAGTAGAGGGGCGGTGGCGGTGGAGGTACCTCGGAGAGCGAAACGCGGAGTATTCTAGATAGACCGCTTTTTGTGCTCGCGCCACGACTGTTTCTTTTGATTGTCGCGGGAGGAGAGGCGAGAGGAGTGCTCAAGGGTATCATTCACTAGTCAAACGGGGTGCGGGGTGGCGGGGGCGTTGCGGCAATCCTCAAACCTGAACAAGATGACAACCTCAAACTCGAATTGCGTCACACG